ATGGGTGAATTGGACCATCTTTTGTCACTCTTTCGGTGGCAGGCATGATGCTGCTGCTGAGGACACTCGGCATGCTGGGTCGGGTAGCTCACCGGTTACCTGGGAGCCTCACCACTCAAAGTGTGGTCCCAGCAGGGTGGTGTCCACCCCACTTGGGAGCTTGCTAGTGATGCAGAATCTCTCAATATCCAGAAAGGCATTCTTAAAAATATTCCCATATTACAGGTACAAAACAAAAACTCGAGGTTAAATCTTGCTCAAGGTCAAAGAGCTAGGAAGTAGCTAGCAACTGACACAGCAACGTTGACTTCAGGTCCCTTCAGTTGTTACTCACAGTTGGTCTCAAATTCCCCACCTCCCACCCCCCACCCGGGATAGAGCAAGTGTAGGTAGGAAGGGGAAGAGGAACAATGAAATTAGAACGACACTTATTCCAGGCCAATTTCACCAATATCATCAGATACAGGAGGAAATAACTCCAGGAGGAAACCAAATAGTCTTCAGTAGAGATGCTAGAGTGATTCAAAATGAGGTAGAAAGCGTTGAGTCAAAAAGCAGTTCTGGCACACGCAGCCACGAGGAGGGGCGAGATTCAGCAGTTCAAGGCCAACCTGCCCGTCACGACTTTCCAACCACTCGGATACACGTAAGCCCCTCTAGGGGACATTACCCAAGAGAGCAATGAGGAGGGAGGTTGTCTTATCTACAGAGGGCCGTCCAGGTAGGTGTTTGGTCCTTACCATGGGCAAGTTACTCCCTATAAGGCTACAGTTGAGGGGCCTGTTAACAAAAAGTATAACAAAAAATATATTAGCACCATCGGGACAGCGAGCGATTGTAGGTAAATGTCACCGAGAACCAACCTATAGGGCTGCCCCAGGAGAGGCGCAGCTGTGTGCCGGCCACATTGGCAATCTTCTGGCATCGACCTAACACCCTGGACCTGACATCTCTTCCAGGGGGTGCTTTTCGTAGGCGGTATTCTTTGCAAGGTGGTTTTCTTGGATCAAAAGAGTCTGGCTTTTTCATGGGGAATCGGAAGTAGGGAGAAGCTACTTACCGGAGAGGGAAGTAACGGCGTTCTTGGGTCATGTTAATGCACATCCTCCAAAACCAACACTCCCCGCTCCACCCCACCTAGCTTGTCAAAGGTTCTGCATGGCCTGAGTGCAGGCTCTTGGGTTGAGGGAGCATGAATATAACTCTCCTGGCTGGCCCAGTGCCTGGCCGTGGGATGCCCTTAGCTTGGATTCAGACAGATACCAAGGAGAAGAAAACACCGCCATCACTCAGCCAGCCCAATATAATCTTAATTTAGATAATGTTCACTCAGGCTGTTCAAAGAACACTGTTAGAAAAGCATATGAATCATCCATGGCAACCACCATTTATATCCCACCTTACGTTCTGTCTACATGGTTCTCTTTATAGATTAAAATGCTGATATTTCACTTATTTCAGGCCTTGTTTTTCTTGCCTGGAGAGGATGGGCTAGTAAAGATACCTGTTGGCTGCTCATTTCTTTGGGATTTGTTTGCAAGGCTGGGTTAAAAATCAATCGTGACGAGAACTTGGTGTCTCGCCCATCTCCTTCAAGCTTATGCTTTGGTGAAAACACAGGAAGAATCCTTTCAGACACGAAATCCCCGCTACACAAAGGACACACAGCCATGCCCCATTTTTAGTCTTTTATTTTTTTTAAGTAAAGAAATTCCATTGAATCAAAGATAACAAAATGACAGTTTTTGTCTGTAATGATCTTTGCTTCCCACCACACAGAATCAAAATAGGATCAAAAGTAACATGAGAACATAAAATGATCTAGGACACCATTGTTTAGTATAATTTCTTAATAAAGGTAAATATCCTCATATTTATTAGAAAAAATTGCATTGCTAGTTGCAAATCTTCAACACCTCAGTGCTGGAGGATCCTGTGTTTCTCCCCCCAAATCCAGCAGCATGGAGGCTCTCAGAACACAAACGCAAAAATACATTATTTTCAGGGCAGCATTTTAAGTTTCAGAAAATCCAAACGAAAAAAAAAATAAAACAACAAAAATTAAAAATGTGAAAGTGATGGTTCTCAAAAACCAATCTGGAAGCAGATCTGCCAACAGAAGAACGTGGTGGTTGACCGGAGTCTAACCAGGAAAAGGGGAGATGCAAACGGGCTCCCCACCCCTCTCCCCTCACCCCTGGTGTCACTAAGGCAGCCGCAGTGGCAGAAATCAGAAGCTCAGGTACAGTGAAGGTCTTCCTGAGGCAGTGGGAGGGACCCAGATCATCCGGAACTGGCATGGAGAGGTGACAGGGTTCTAAAGGGCTTGTGCTTTAGGGAAAGTCATGATGCCAAACGAAAAAGCAAACAAAACCCAACTCCTACATCCAGGAACTCGGTCCACCCACCACACAAACAGCCTAGCGGGGAAGTGGCCGGCCCTAGGGCCGAGAGGGCAATTCTTGTAGGGGATTGTTGGCTGCTCAACATGGGTGGTCTGGAAGGAGAATGCACATTGAGACGAATGGTATCGCTGCCTGTCCCCAACTTATGGCAATAATAGATTTCTTGGCTAATGGGGACCAGGTCGGGGAGAAGGCAGGTTGTAGGTTTCATTACCGATTGACAGGAATCGAGTTGAAAAGACTTAATCCACCAGTTAGAAATTAACTTCAGCTTATTCATTACAGATAGATACATGGAAGCTTTGCCCACCTACATGCTAGGAAAAACAGCTCAGAAAACTTGGGCGTGGGGGGCTGATCCTTCCAAGAGGGCAGCTGTCCACTGTCGGGAGTCTGGGAATGGCTGGCGAGCTGGCCTCCGCGGTCTGCTTCCAAGGGCCGCTTCGCAGAGATGCCCAGACTACAGCATCCGGAAGCAGGGGCCACTCCTCCCCTCCCCCCATTAGCTTCGAATACAATTTGGCAAAAGCAGTCCTACTCTATGAAGAGGGGGTACTTCCCTCTGCTTAGATAACAGAGGTGGAAGAAAATCTTTCCCTCGATGGCTCGGCTTCTAAATGCCACAGACAGACCACTTTTCAAGGCTTTTGGAAACATCCAAGTGATTCAAAGTAGCTTTGAACAACAGAGTGAGGCCAACAAGGAAGAAAGGCGTCAGAGATGAGATGTTTGGCGGGTTCTGGGTCCCTCATGTTGTGGAGGGGTAGGGGTGCCTAACGTAACAAAAAGCATGCAGGCCACATGGAGAAATTCTCTGGTTTCACTGTGGCTTTGCTTCAAACTTCCTCAGAAGATTTTGAATTCTAATGCCATGATATTGTGGTAACACCATCCCAGAGGCAAGTTAAGGCTTTCTGGGCAAAGAAAGTGATTCCAGATGATACTGTGGGTGGATGCTGCAGAGAAAGGCTTCTTAATAACTCTACTGTCCTGCCTAAAAGACAAAGATCCGAGTTCTTTTGAACCCAACATGATGTTTCAGTGATCTCTCCTTCAGCTCTAAGCCAGAATCGATGTCACAGGAAGAGAAAAGCCTCTCGCATCTCAGACATCCGCTCGCCCGGCGAACACAAACAAGAACGCATGCTTTGTTTCCCTGGAGCTGGCGAAATGATCTCAAGTCCCCCGGTGACAAAGAGAGCTCTCATTCAGAAGCCAGGAGAATATGCTCAGCTACCCAGAGAGTTCGGCTTTAATTAAGACGATGGTTTCAGAATGAAAGCCTGAGCTGGAAGGATGTCTGCCCTGGGAGCTCTCAGCGCTCTGCCCGAGTCGCACGGAAAGATGGGGGTATGCGCCTCGTGTCAATGGTGCACCTGTGTCAGTCACACGACCGCCCTTGGAACAGCAAGGACATTGAGATGACGGTGGAGACTCTGAAGAGGAGCCAAAGACACAAGGCTTTGGCAACGTCAAAGGTCTTGACAAGCAAAGGCTTAATGCAGTCGCTCCTCTCCAGGTTCCCTGCAGGTGAGCCTGGGGCCTGAGCAACTCAGTTTCCACTTGCGAGGGCTGTACAAGGCAAGCGGCGACGTTCGAGCGAACGATGTGGAGACAGATGAAGTGGTTCCGAGAGGCGAAGTGACTGCCCACCATCCAATGTGAATTAGAGATGGCTGGGACAAGAACCCAGGTCCCCTGGACCCCGGCTCCACACCTACACGTCAAAAAAGAAACACTCCCCTCCCAGGTCTATGTCCACTCTTACAGTCTCTCACAGGGTCCCCTAGAAGTCTTAAATGCTGCAGAGAGGTTTCGAGAATACAGTGACAACGAATGACTTTCTGCTTCCATTCTGCTCTGGAAATCACTGGTGCAAACTCACAGCAGGAAGATAAGAGGTTTTCTTCAAGTCTTTTAAAGTCCCTTCTAACGTAAACACATCAAGGAGATTCAACACCATTTTTAAGAGAACCCTAATTTGACTGGAATAGGTTATTTACCGGTGGCGTCAAATTATTTAGGAAGTAGGGAGTACAACCAGGAGACATGGAGGTGCTTTCCTCCCTTCTTGGTTTTTAATGTGTTATTCCTGCAATAGAATTGTCTAGGTCTATGTAACTTAAATCCTTAATCTGATTTTGAAATATAGCATTCAAATGCTCTCTGAACATTCAGCCTAGTTTTAGCCCAAATAGGACCTTAATAGCAAGAAGAACACTCATATTATCATCAGAAATGAATGACTTTAGGAAGAAAAGCAAGAAAAGCTAGAGGCAGGAAAAAGCTGACCTACATAGAAAATGCGGCTCCCTTGTTTATTGGGCGAGTTTGCATTTCTGTAAATTCAATGCCTCTGTGCTCTCATTCAGGGACAAACAAGAATTTCCCTGTGAGACAGCCACAGTCACATTCTCATTTCCGTGCCTGAGAGCCTGACGCTAGAACAAAGGGCTTCAGTGGATTTCATGGGAGCCAAAATGGAATGTAAGTGCCATTCAGAGTCACGCTAAAAAGATTTCAGCTGGGACCCGGCCCCCAGAGTCCTGTGGGGTAAATCCCCGTTGTGTGACAACAAAGGCGGTGCCCCAAAACCCTGCCCCTCCCCATGGGGCCACCAGGACTGCTCTGGGATGAGTCTCCCAGGCTCCTGGGTCCCCGCCCTGTGTGTGTGTGTGTGTGTATGTGTGTGTGTGTGTGAGACAACGGAACTGTCTCTTCTCCTCCTGGATGGAGCTGGCACCTGGCCTCTACTTTGTCAGAACAGGTCAAGGGATGTGGCCCAAGGCAAATGAAAAGGAGCCTCTTGCTTCCTGGGATGGTCCCACAAACCCCGTTAAATTATTGCTTCGTTTACCTACTTTCGCAAAAAAGTTTTGTGACATGCAGGGCGTAGAAGGAAGTACGACTTCTAGATCACAGCTGTGGTTGCGGGCGGAGGGGAAAGTAACAAAGGAGAGGGACGAAGCTCCCCGCCGAGGGGCAGATGCTAAAGTGCCATCGTGTGCTCCAAGAACACGGTGAAGAAATGCTCTGGGAAAGTGACGAGTCAGGGGAAAGTCACCAGGGCAAATTCAGCGTATGCGTAAACCAGAGCGGAGCTGGGGCCACGGGACTCTCTGTCTTTTGAGATAATGGCTGCTTTTGATGTTATGAGTTAGGATAATCTGCTGATTGTCAGAAAACAAGTTCTTCAGGTTATATAGACATTACTGTCACATTCACTTGGACCGATGCCCAATCTACACCCACTTGTGGCCATGACGTTTGGCCCCCAGGCGACTCCCTCTATTCCCCGAAACATCCACGCAGACCCACTTTTCCTATTCCTGTCTATCCCAGAGCAAGGGAGATGAAGCAGGGAATAATTTTAAAACATATCCAGCAATTTTACTCATAGTTCTGGATAGCAACTGCCGATTTTTCAAAGTGCAGAGTTTTTAGATATTCAAGTACCACAGGATCGGAGAAGAGTACTTGAAATCTAGAGGGACATTTTCACTTGAGAAGACACACTTCAGAAAGACCTCTCCAACACACTGCAAATATAGGGCTATTAAACTAAAAATCTGGTTTCACAATGACACCCTCTTCAGTTGGAAAGATCTTCATTCAAACTCAGATCCAACTTTTGAATTGTTTGGTATCAAAGCCAGAGTTAGAGATCTGGGTTAAAAAAATAAAATTACAATTGAGTGCTTAATAGAAAAAGAAAAAACTAAAAATCTCTTTATGTGAAATTGGGGGGTGGGAGGAAGGGAAGGCAAATGAAGACATCCAGGGGCTTAAACGGGGAGAACAGCTCCCAAGCTCCCCTGGAGGGACGTTCTCTCAAACCTCAGTAAACTGAGTTTGTCATTGAACTTCAGAACTGGCAGTTCCCTGGGCAATCTACCTGGTCCAAGTTCCCCTTTTTACAGGTGAAGAAACTCAAGCTCAAAGGGACTTTTCCAGGGTCATGTAGCTTGCGAGAAGCAGAGTGGGGCACAGCCCAAACTCTTCACTCCCAGCCCAGGCCCTTTCCAGGACATCACGCTGCTGTCACACAGCGGCAGCTGCACACGACAGGCCTTGCTGTTTTGGAGGCCCCTGGGAGCTCTGTGACATCTGGGACTATGAATTTCGATAAAATGAGTTACCAAGATGTCTCTAATTTAGAAGCCTTTCAGAACAGTGTTCCCCAAACTTGCCAGGGTCTGAGAATCATAGGGGTCACCTGTCAAAACTCAAAAACCCAGGCCCCTCCCCAGACCCACTGAATGAGCTTCTCCAAGGGGAGGGACCGGGGAGGCTGGATTTTCCGTAAGCGCCCAGGTTAACTCTTGTCACCAGCCAAGAGCAGGGAAACTGTCTTAGGAGACAGTGAGGGAGAAACTTGGTTGTGACCCAGGGGAATTTTCTTTGCCACGTAAGAGGCCACACTGCGGCCTGGCTCCCAGGTCCCTAGGCTCCTGAGCTGAGCTGCATCTGCAGCAGTGGGCCTAGGTTGCTGATCTTTTTTCCGAGTCTATGTAAGGAAACATGAGACCACCATGAAATAACGGACATCCTTCACTGTTTTGGGGGAAAAGCCTTTTGATTGGCAAAGCAAAACTGCTGTTCAGACACATGTTAATAGGGAAACTAGATGTCGTTGGCTTCAAAGCAATCATGATGCTGCTGAAAGTGACAGGAGGGTGAGAAGCCCACCGCTTGTCACCACGGCCAACAACGTAATGGAGAAAACCAGTAACTAAGCACAAAAATAGCCTGGAGCTCCCAGGGACAGCCGCCCACTCCAAGAGAGGTGTGCCTGTCGGTGGCCCCCCGCTGATAGTGTGAGGTCAGATCCAGGTCACTGAGGGAGAGGGGACACCTGAAGCAGCCAGCGAGGCACGTGAGTTCCAGAGGAGGGCAGCTGGACTGTGCCAGAGCCCAGGAGGCCTCACTCCAGGTCGGCCTCCACCAGCTCCGTGTCGGAGCACTGTGACTTGTTGCGTTCCCACTGGCAAATGGCATTGGCGTACTCCACCACCAGCTTATCCATCCACGTCAGGGGCTCGGGGAACAGCACGGAGCCCTCAAAGAAGCCCAGGTGGCCCCCGTGCAGAGGCAGCACAAACATGACGTTCTCCCGTTTCTCTGCAGGAGAAAGGCAGCTGAATGAGTCACTCTCCTTGGGTTAGCTCCATGGCGGCAGATGCGACAGTGAGCTGGCCAGGGCGGCCCAGGCTGTACCCGCAGGTGAAGGTCACCCACGTGGGCATCTCACCTCTACTCACCCTGCCTCGTTCGCCAGGGTGAGCGGGAGACTGGTGGGGCAGGCAAGAGAGTGGGGTCTAGTGGGCTTTGGAGTGGAGTGGGCACCAGCTTATGAGATCCTCAGAAGCTTAAGTGATTCTCCAGCATGGCTGCATATGAGAATACACTGTACAGCCAAGGGCTTCCCAACTGTGCACATCCAATCTCCGGCTGTCCCTCGAAATGCACAACATCCTGCTTTCACAGGCCTGGGGAAGGGGCAGAGATTCTGTACCTCTGCCAGGCCCCGGACAGTGCCCATGCTGCGCGGGGTGGGGGAGTCCTGGGGGCGGGGGAGGGGGAGGGGGCAGGCTCTCAGGGAGGTGTTGCAGCACAGCATTTATACTGGCATTTATTGGAGAGCAATGTGAACTCAATGAAGTCGATGATTTTTCATTACAGACCTGTATCTTTTAAGACTGAAACACAAAGCTGCCAGTGGTGTTAAAAGATGCCCAAGTTCTCACATGCTGAAAGGCCATCCTGAGAATGACTAACCTGGACTTGTCCTCATGAGTTAGGTGAGTTGCACACGGGCTAGTAAAGGCCATTACTGCAGATGGTACAGAGTGGGCAGCCAGGACAAGCAGGTACTGCAGGGAGTGGCTGTCTTCCCAGGGGGAATAACAGACAGGGGTCCCTTGCTGGCTACTCCGGGCCTACGGGGCGCTTCCTGGCATGCACACTTGTGGCTCTCCAGGGCTCTTTACTTGTCTGACCCTCGTTATTCTTCTCCTTCCGGTCGCTATTGCATGCATTTCTGTGTGGCAGCAGTAGAGCTGTGGCTGTTACTTTAGATGCACGGAAGAAAGCAGACGCTGCTGCCTACTCTGTCTGCTGCCCACGAGGCGGAGTGGGCTACTTCTGTGCAGGGGGCTGACGGGAGAGAGCTCGTATCACATCACACACCCGCTGCACACCAGCATCTACTCTGAGCGGTGCCCGAGAGCTCTCTGGTGGCTGGGCGAGGGTCCTCTGTTTGCTGGATTATTTATTCTTCTAGCTTCTAAGAGAACCAGAAGCATCCCTCTTCCCTGTGGTCAACATAGGATATTTACAGAGGAAACGTGGAGGGTGGAGATGAGGTCCTAGGGATCTGAATTTCAGTGCAAAGCCACTTTGGAATTCCCAAGGGTGTCCTTCTGCTACCCTCTTTCTAGTTCCTCCTTTAGCTCCTATTCGGTGTGGACGGAGACTGCACTGGCCGGAAGCGCAATCGCATTCCCACGAGCAACAGTCTTTGCTTTTTCGGTTGCTTATATTTTTATCCTCAAAGCAGATGGAGAGGCTGACTGTCACGAGAGGTAGCAGAACTGGCTTTTTTGTTTTTTGGTGGTTTTCAGGTCAAGCCTTAAGTTTAAGTATCTTTTAAAGTCAAACTCTCAGACTTAATGGAACCATTTTCATGGGTCAATAATTTCCCAGAACACCAGGGGACTTGGCGAACCGCTGTTGGCTACGGATATAAATGATGGGCCTGACTCTTGCACCAGGAGAGGACACAGTGAGGCTCTGCCCAGGTCCCATCACAGCCCCCAGACTATCAGGCTACACTGAATAAGAACACTGATGGGAGGTGACAGCGTGGTGAAGGTAACAACTTACCGTGGCAGTAATTCTGCCACGGTAACTTCTGTCACCTTCTGCTGAGTGGTTGAGGGAGCAGCAGGAAAAACACTTACCTGAAAGAGATTTTGGAATGGTTAGAAGACTTTCATGCACCAAGGGGTCGTCAGCTGCATTAACCAGCATGAGAGGCACATAAATCTGAAACAAGAAAATGAAAAAGATTAAACGACCAATTCCCTTTAGACCCCACTGATTCACGGCTCAAATCTATCGGACGTGACTCTGAAGTGAAGGGAAGCAGGCCACTGCCCAGTTTGCTGAACAGCTGAGTTAAAAACGCCTTGGATTCCCTGGCAGTGGCACGATTTCTAGCTGCTGCTGTGACTACAGCCCTGGCAGGTGTGCGCAGGAGCAAAGCTCCCGATGTCCTTGGTGACCCACGTGCTCTGACAGCACCAGGAGGGTGAAAGCTCTAAGGTGCTCGCTGGCACAATACTTCTGATGATCTTCAGCGTTTCAGATCAGCCAGACGTGTCAGAAAAATGACTTTGCAGAGTTACATGCATACTCATTCAGTTTATATTGCAGCGAGAAAAAACGGAGTGTGCTTCCTTCTAGACAAAGGAGCCTTTCAAGAAGAGGCTGAAGGTAGGAAAGAGGAGCAGGCTGGTGGACATCGGGAAGCTCCTGGCGGGGTTGCAGTAAGAAAGCTACGTGATCTCCCGTGTGGAACGATGGCAGGAACCAGGCAGGACTACACCGTCAAAGGAAGACGACGGGGAAAAAAAATGGGCGTTGCGGCAATTTTAAGGGCCTTTACACAAACACAGGAGCAGACTGGTTCTGCGCTGCGCAAAGGGGCGGCTCTGGGATTAACACATGGAGGTCACAGAGGGACAGGGTTTGCTTCGATAATAAACCCAAGTCAACAACTGGAGCGCTGAGAGCCGGATTCTGGCTGAGCTTCCAGCAGGGAAGTTTAACAGGGGTGCTTGTTAGTGCAGCGTGAAGCTGGATGGAGTGACACTAATTCTGAGATGCTGCTCCCTCGGAGTCGGTGATGGCACTTACCCTGTGCAGGTACCTCATGCAGCTTTCTTCCTCGTAATACTCCTTCAGGGAGTTATAGCCATGAAACTTCCTGAGACACACACACAAAGAAAAATAACACAACAATACTTGTCATAAGATCGGAATGCTGAGTGGATTTTATTTCTGCTCCAGTTCCCACACTAACTTGTCGTATTAGTAGAATATACTTAGTCCAAGGGTTTAACCTCTCTGAGCTTCTCTTCTTCAAAATGGGGCTAAGGACAGGATCTTCCTTAATGGCGCTGTGAGATTTATAACATTAGTGCCGGCCCAGAGTAATTACCCAGTTAGTGTTATCTTTAGTAATTGCTGGCACATGTTACATCTTTCAAGGTGGTATAAAGCCAGATGTCACTGTAAACACTAAGAATATTGAAATTCAAAGGCATTTATTAGAACTTGCTTTATAACAGATTTCTTCCTGGCAGAGCAACCTGGACCACTGTGAATTGGAGTCAAATATGTATCGAGTAATAGAAATGGGGGATTCACAGTCACCCGTGGAGTAGCAGTCAGAGATAAGCTAACATTTAACAAAACCGTTGGTGTGGTTCCACCCCGTGCTCTAAGCAGCCTGGCACAGGTCAGCCTGGAGCTCTGAGACCAGCAGGCTGAGTCAACCCCAGGCCAGAGGCTCTCTGAGAACCGAATTTCTTCCTGACGCGAATTATGGCCCCTGGGTTTTCTTTTCTGACTAGAGTCATCAAGCTCTCCCGTCTCCCCCAAAGCTATGGATCTGCCACCAGGCTCCAGATACAACTCTGCCTGGGAAGGACCCAGAAAGCTAGAGCTGGACCATCAGGGCTCCTTAGGGAGAAGGCCATGTGCCAAGATCATCTCCAGGACATCTGTCTTCATGAAATCAGTTCCCTTTGCAAACCCAGTGGGCCAGAAAAGCCCTCCCAGTCTTCCAGGGTCACCAGAGACAGGTTTGTGAGGAGCCACCCTCACAAACTGGTGAACATCATGAAAACTGCTGCTGCCCAGCATTGTTAGAACGGAAGAGCTTTAGGGAGAGTTGAAGACCATTTTTATTTAGGATTCAAAAAATTCAGAAGATGAATGGGAAGTTGAAATAGTTTTGTTTTTTCTCATTAGAGACCACAATAAAGTTGCACATACATCTGAAGTGAGGGTGGATAAAATTCATTCTCACCTTCTGAATATAGTGACAACTTCCTAGTTTCTATTTCCTTTGAGTAACTGTTAACAGGTAACTTTCAAGGTTAGTCGGTGTAAGAAGGGTACCAAGAGCCCATAAGGAGGACAAGTACAGATCCCATGCTTTCAGGTCAGTATCTGCCTATGTACTGGATGAACGAACGCTAGCTTGCTTTAAACCATGCCTAAAGGCATCAGATGATCATTAAATAAAAGGGTGACTTTTCAAAAGGAGAATAATGAGGTCAGAGATCAACTTTACCTTTTCCATCTAAGACTAATTTCAATCAGAAACTAATGGTACGGGGGAAAGAGGACACTGTCAGGGTCTCAATCTCAGGGGCCCGGAGGGGCCGGGCTGGGGGTGGGTAAAGGAGTGAGGTGGACGGAGTTTGTGCGCTACACTCAGAGGAGCGTCTTCATGTCCCCATAGAGGCTTGGGCCATTTTACTGGCAACACACAGCCCTCTTGGTCTATTTTTTGTTTTTTTACTTTTGATGGAGACACAGATAGGTACAAAAATGATTTCCTTTTCCTTCTACTCCACTGCAAATGCAGGTCATGTGGCTCCTGATCCCTGCCCGGCGTCGAGTACACAGGCAGGGTGAGGACGTAAATGACCAGGGCGTGCGCGCCCCCGGCCCCAGTTCACGTTTGGTTATGCCATGTGGGGATGCAGAACGAGTGTGCAGATCCTCTTCTTATTTTCCAAGAGGATCTAGAAACTTGCAATTTTCTGTGAAATCTTCTGTTTTTTAAATACTGGACACTTATTTAAAGGAAAAAAAAACCCTTAACACTGCAGTGAGCAGGGCAAAACCCTCGTACTGGGCCGCACTGGCTTGCAGCCTCCCTCCTGGCCCCTGTCCCTGAGAGTGGACACACCTCATCACGTTGTCATCGATCTGCATCAGGGACGTGGCTGTGTAGAGGCGGCTCAAGTCCGAGTCCTCCAGGCTCTGGGGTTTCCTTACGTGGTCTCCAAAAAGAGCTTGTCTACAATAAGACACAAAAGCAAACAGAGAATAAGCAGCAGATGAAAAATCAAACAAACCATCACATTTCTACACTTAAAATATCTTACAGTTTTATTGGTCAATTACCTCAATAAAGTTGAAAAAAAAATTTGATTAAAAAACTTTTAATGCAGACAATAATCACAGTAGAGCCTGCTTCCTTGCCCAGAAGCAAGCCAGGCGACAGTCTCCGACAAAGCATAGCTGGGTAAGTTAGAAATATACACCTTTAGACCTCAGAATGTCTCAGAGGATGAGCTGGCACTGCTGACTTTTGAATAACTGCAGAAAGATGGATGGCAAGAACTTGTTTTCATTTTCAGGGGCAACTAGACAAACTCAAGGTTGGAGCTGGGTCTAGGTGACAATTACAAAACCTTCACTGCGAGCGGGGAGGTCTCGGTGGGCGGTCAAACAGTGGGGGCCTCGTCTTTACACTGGTGGTGACACTGCCCCCTCTCTATGAGGAACCACATTCTCTTTATGAGTTGTTTCTGTCGCTTCACAAGGAAGACAGTGGCTAACACATTTAGCTTTTGGGTACATTGACAGCTCTCCAACCCGTTAGCTGGAAGAAGACTGAGTTTGGTTTGAGGTTTGGCTCTAGAATGAGAAAAACCATTATGGAAACAAAATGTTCTGGTTTCCATTCACCTTTCCCAAGAAGAGAAATAAGCTTCTTTAACATTAATTCTTTTCCCCAAAAAATTATTAGGAAGATTATATACCTATGGAGAGAATTAAAATGTCCCTATGTCACACAGTGCTGTGTATCGATTATATCTCTATAAAAGTGGAAAAATAAAAGGACAATGTTGATAAAAAAAAAAAGTATCCTTAAAATCTTGAGATGTTTAGCTATCTGTAGTAAATTTTAAAAATGTAAATACACTTAGAGCACATCCAAAGTACTCTCCCAATTTGCTAAGAAGTACAGGGTGGACCTTCTGTATGGACTAATTAATATTGCCAAGTCTGGGCCGGTAGCATATCAAACATTTCCTGGGAGGAGGCACTGTCCATTCCAGAGGTGTGGAAAGGCAGACGGAGGACTTGGACTTGGTGTCAGAGGCCTGGCTTCACCCCTTCTGGAATCTTTGCAAATCCCCAGACCTGTCCAAACCTTGGCCGAGCCACACCCAACTAACTGATGCTCCAACACCATGAGCTGAGTGGAAATGGTTTCCGTCCTGCCAGCCTGGGAGACATAAATCTCTCCCCGCCCTCTACCGGGCCAGTACAAGCACCAGCTTTGCCTGGGCACCATGTGAACCTGCCTGCAGGAAGCCCAGCCTGGGGTTCGTGGCCAGGATGGGCAGTACCACTTTTCTTTCTACTGTTGAAAAAAAGAGAATAAGAAACTGATCGTTCAGTCAGATTGCCTTTCCTAGGGTGGCATCAAAAACCCCTAAAACTGTGTTTTTTTGAGAGCCTGCTATGCGCCAGGCTCGGGAGGGAATCAGGGCTCTGTGGTTTAGTTCCAGACATAGGATTCAAACCAGGGAAGCAGCAGAGAAGCCAGCTGGGGCTGGAGAGCCAGCTTCATGGAGGGAGAGAACTGAGATGAACCTGAAAGGCTAGGCTGGGTCTGGACACGCACACGAGGGGAAGGGCACTCTCCCAAGGGCACAGTGCGGTGGGAGAGGCCGGAGAGCGCGCGGCATGAGCTGGACGGTCGGGGAGGAGTGGGAGTGGGGGAGGGAGAGAAGATATCCATGATAATCGTATGATGAATCATCGCCAGTATTTACTGAGGGCGACTGCACGCCAGGCCCTGCTCTAAGCACCCGTCAGGGGCTAAGCCGCTGAAGGGTTCTGAGCAGAAGCGATGGGAAGAGACGGAAGGAGGAGCATGGTGATGAGCGGACACCAGGCTTGGCGCCAGGAGCTGGACTCCCGCTGCCCTGCTGCTTGGTCAGAACCGCAGGAGGCAGCAGAGAAGGATTCTTAATCTCTAAACACAAGCATCCTAAGAAGAGAGGTTCCTCTACAATGATCGGCCACCCTCGGGACCACCCAAATTGGGAAAAGAATGGTGTGGAACTGGTTTCTCGTCTTGGATTTACTGGGAATTATGAAAGCAGAAAGTTATCTGGTGAATTTGGGAGCCGGGGACAAGCTGGTTTATAACCAAGTCGCAAGCAGTCAGCAGAGAATCTGCACCACCTCTACTGAGTCCTGGCTTTTAGTGACTCAGAAATCAGCTCAGAAAGGACTATGTCTCCCAAGAGGGAGTGGAAGGTGACGCACCTGTGCGAGAGGATGATCTTCTTCATGTTGTCGGCCATGAGGAAGTTGTAGAAGCGCCGGCACTGGTCCCACTGCATGAAGGTTTCCTGCACCCTGGAGGAGCACAAGGGGAGTGAGGGGCTGCGACCTGGAGAGGACGTGGTGGCAGCGGCTCTTGTCACTGGAGAACGCTGGCTCCCTACGGCGGAAAAGGGGACTTCCGCGATACCCAAACTATCTGTAGAGAAACCTCTGGAGACATCGAAAGTGCACTGCTGAATGTGAGGCCCCAGACAGAGCTCTCCAGGGCCACAGGCTGTTGGTGACACTCCCGACAGCCTCTTCCAGCACCATGGCCCCTTCTGAGTCACAGAACCTGTCGGTACCAAAGATGCTTCAACTGCCATTTGGACACTTCCCCTATTTCGCTTCCTGCCCTGCAAGCACGTTTTTCCAGTTTAATGAGGGGAATGTGTAAGGGGAGGGTGGGTGTGGAGAGGCACAGTACAGGGAAACAGCTAAAAAAACCTTTGTTGCTGTTTGGTATAAGCCCCAAACGCAGCTGCCGCCGCAGGGCTCAACTGAAGCAGGAACTTGAACTATGGCCCGTCTGACCCCTCTGGGTATTTTGCCAAACTCTGCACAAGACACTCCTCCATTCCAAGCCTGTTTTCTCAACTATCAACCAGGGGGTTGAACTAGAGAATCCATTTTCACACACCCATTGCTCTACGGCTGAAGAATCTAGACAGTTCTATCACAGGCCTGACAGAGGCCACTCTGGGGGACGTCGGTGGTGTCTTCATTGCTTCGGTTAATGGTGGATAGAATTCTGGAGACAGGGGATTCTCTAGGGAATTCTCTAGGCCAGGAGAGCGGGCCAACTAATGGTGTTAAGAACGGCTTCAGAATTCATAAGGTTTCAAATGCTTAATCAAACCAGAGAGTCAGACTGAGTCTGACCACACACATTTCCAGGGCTGGTGGGCGGCTATTTATGCTGAGGGGACATGTGAAGTTAGCTGGATACCATGTAGTTTCAGGGCATTTGTGTCCCTCCTTCACTGGTTCAGCACATCACGAACGTGAGCCTGTTTAGAGGCAGCAGCTAGACTTTGCTAACTACAGCAAGCGGGCGCTGGCTTCTGAGCCTTGAACTGGCGCTAGCTAGAGGGGAGGTGCGCTAACGGGGAGAGAAGCCAGAGGAAGGGGATGGGTCACTGACAAGCGGTGCTGCGGACTCAGCTAGGAAGGATTTACCAGAAGCATGGACTCCCAGGCAGACGAGCCCTCCCTGCTCCATGTTGGCATAAAAGAAGCATGGCTGCCATCATCCCAATGCTGAGAAGGCTCATTGCCCTCAAGCCTTGGCAGGAAAAAAAAAGGTTACACTGGTTTAAAGTAAGGCACTGTCCTTCAGTGAGTAGCTCTCATGAAAATGTTGAGGAGACTGAACCCCGGGCGGCAACACCAGCACAGTCAGGGGGATGGCGTCCCCGACCTGCCTGCCACCTGTTTCCCTGTGCTGGGCCACCGGATCTCGGCCCTAGCGTTGGTTCTCTGTGCTCTAGAGGATGAAGTGCCTCTCTCTCCCCGTTGTCGGAGACTGATGCGACAATTAGTAATTGCAAGTGTGAAGATCTTTGAGGTCTCAAAGAGGGGCGATATGGACCATGTCTGCAAAATGTATAGCACCTCAGATTATAGTTTCCTCGCTTCTTTATGGAAAAAAACCAGTATCTTTAAAAAATTAAACTGCAGTTAACATACGATATCATTTGAGTTTCAAGGCAGCAGTTATTCAGCATTTCTAAGTGATCACCACAACAAATCTAGTAAGCACCTGTCACCGTGCATAGCTATTATGATACTATTGACAATATTCCCTGTGCCGTACACCATATCCCTGTGACTCGTTTACTTTATAACTCCTATCCCCTTCACCTCTTCTCTCACCCCCTCACCCCTGCCCCTCTGGCAACCATCACTTTACCCCGCAGCTTCTTAAACCTTCTTGGCCTTAGTTCTAACACCTTAGTTCGCCAAATGTGCTGATCATGTGCTCTTGCCAACAGCAGATGGCGCTACTGCAGCAAAATGAAATAAAGCCGCTGTCATTAAAGACTGCTGAAAAAAAAATGAAAACAAACTTGTCCTACCATCCTCCTACTTATCAGACTCAGTGCTCTCTAAACACGAAGTTGGTATCCACAGTAATTTCAGGGCACTTGGTTGAGGAAGGGACTCTAGCAATTCCGATTTTATACAAGATAGAAGGCTTGCCGAAAACTGGACCATTCACCAGGTGAGAGCAGATGCAGTGGCAGACCCTGCTCCCTTCAGTCTGATGGCAGGCAGGTCCTTTCCTTACTTGTCTACTATTCCAGTGACTGGGCAGGATGGGACTTTCATTAACTCTGGTTGTATGATGACTATGAATTAGGACTTGAATATTTCTGGTCAAGTCAAGATAAAGGAACGTGTCCTTCTAGCTGGCCCTCCAGAGCACAGAGGGGAGTGAAGGGGAGTGAAGGTGTCCTCCAACAGGAGGACAAGGGGACTAACCTAGTCCTGCCATACTGTAGCTGGAGAGACCGCTGAGGTCCCCAGGCCCAGTAACTGCTAAACGTGGCTAAATATCAGAAGCCGCCTGTGAAATGTGTTCAAATACAGACTCCTGGCCATATGCCCCAGACTGATGAATCAGAATCTCCAGGGGTGGGTCCAAGGAACTGAATCTATTTCTGACATGATCCTCCAAGTGATTCTTAAGGAAGTGAGACAGTCACTAGTTCACCAGGCTGGTCTTTGTGATCCACTGATCTAAGCTACTTCTGATTTTATAGTGATTAATTCTGGTGATAATTAATAGTCACTGACTCATTTGCTACATACCTGGCACTGCTTTAAGTAGTTCACACGCATTAACTCTCACGGCCTTCACAATGGCACTACGAGGCAGGCACCATTTATTATTACTGTCATCCCCATACTGCAGGTGAGGAAAACTGGAAATCCGGCCCTGGCCCTAGAACTCAGGGAAGGCTCCATCCAGGATGTCTTTCGTGCCTACTTTTGGGTACATTTAAATCCTCCTTTTGGGCCAACTTTAAGTCTCAGGCAGAGGCTGAATTCTGGGCCTGCATTAGCTGTTTGGATGTGCTGGTTTCAAATTCCAGATATTTTTAGAAATAACATAGCTCCATCCATGAGAACATGATGAAATGGGTTTACACTACACCAGGAGAGATATAGGTGAGGCAAAAAGGCGGGATTCGTTAATAACGATAAGGACTGACTGGCATCAGACTGGATCAGTGAGGGTGGTTTTTTTTTTTTACTTTCTTGTATGATTTTCATTTCTTCAAGAGATCTTTAGTAATTGGTCATATCCATTTATAATACAAAAGTCATTATGTAGAGTGAGTACAGAAAGAAATATGAATGCATTTGAAGAATTTGGAAAGATGTGTGAAGAGTGTACGTGCATGTGTGCATGTGTGTGTGTGTGCGTGTGTGTGTGTGTGTGTGTGTGTGTGTGTGTGTGGTGTGACTCTCCAGAGATCTGGGACAACACTGATCCTGAGGGGTACTCAGAGCAGACAGTAATGCCCCTCTAGGACTCATCCTGTGGGGCTCTGTTGCTAGGAGACTAAGGGGCTTATCAGCAGGTCATCTCCTTCATGGTGATGTCTAGGACGCCTAAGAAAGAAGAATATTTGAAGGTGAGGGCACAGATTAAGTGATTTCTACAGATCCCGTCCGATGCCATCTGAGACGCAACTCTTGCACAGGTTGGAGGAATCTGGGGTCAGAAGTCTCAGCTGCCAGACTCTGGTTTGCCTGTCTCCTGCGTTCTTTCATAAACCCACAGCTGTACAAAGCTCCTGGAGCAGGAGCAGGTTAGGTCCCCTGCAGAGACCCCACAGGGAGATGGCAGATGTAAGGGGGCTTCAGCTTACCGAATTACACATCCGATCCCAACATACAGCTGCACACCCCAGGTTTAAGGGGTCTGACAGGACAACTTCAGTGTATGTGGGAGCAAAAGACCCACAAACTTCTGCTCAGTCTGCCACAGCATTTCCTGTGGCCACAGAGCAGCGCCTGGTACGTTGGGGCATCTCAGCAAATGAGTACTTGACTGAAGGATTCGGCGGAAGGAAGAAGTAGGGGCACGGGGTAGGGATCACTCACCTCAGCGCGCTGTACCCCTGGCACACGCTGACACAGCACAGGACCTTTTCTTGGTTTGCTTGAGTCTCCCCCAAGTATTTACACACGATGTTACCACCCAGGCTAAAGCCCACGACGACCAGCTGGGTCAGGGGGTAAGTCTTCTTGATGTAGTTCACCATGGCTCCGAATTCCCAGGTACAACCTGGGGGCAGAGAGGAAGGGCACGCAATCACGCTAGGTGCAATGAAGACTGGAGAAAATGTGAGCTGGAGGGTTGATACTAAGTGGGTGCCAAGACACTAACAGAGAACACTACGTGTGTGTGCGCATGCGCAGCGAGAGACGTACACACAGACAGTTCTCACTGGCTGCCTGGGGAGAAGTTCCCAGATGCCCCAGCCCTGGTAGCACCCATGAGGGGAGGTACCACATATCAAGCAGACAGGTGTGCAATGTGCCTTTAAAGGTGGGTTTTAAGAAATGTCTGGATGCTCATGGAAATCAAAAGAGATTCAGAGTGCGCGTGAGTGTGTATGTTCGCACACAGATACAAACAAAAGCAAGAGCAAATCCCTTTGGGATTAGCTTCTTAGGCTACAAAATAGGATGCTGTACCCATGTGTACAATGATTCATAGTGTTAAGAAAAGTACCAAGTGGATGTTATTTACAGGATCTTCTTGTGGGGGAGGGAAGGAAAGACAAACTCAGTCCAGAGGGACGGCCGGGATGCTCTGCAGGATTAGGGTAAAGAGTCCTCAGTGACGTAAGCGCTGGGTGCCAAGGGAAGCAGACCCATTCAGAAATACACAGAAGAGACCCATGAACACAGAAGGTGTTTGGGCCCGGTTTGCCCAGGAGCAATGATCTCCACGGGTGCCCCCGGGGAAGCTGGTAAAGTCACATTATGCCTCAGCAGCTCTGCCAAGAGGAGGAGGTCAGTGGCCACACGCGGGTGAAGGAATTCATCACAGGCCTTCTAAGGCCCCACCCCAGACTCTGCGGGGAGCCGACCTGAAATAAAACCTCACGGAGAAGTTAGAAGTTTTGGCGAGAAGTGTGCACAGGACAGACTAGCATGGAGTGAATGTGGATTTTGCACCTGTTTTTAAAAGTACAGATCTTTGCTTCGGCAGTTACACTTTTGGGGACTTCCTACCACAGATGTGCACAAAGATGCACGAACACGTGTGCAAAGACGTGTGCAGGAATGTCCGCCGCAGCACTGTTTGCAACAGCAAAGGATTGGAAACAACCTGAATTTCCACCGATAGAGAACTAGTTAAATTGCTGTGAAAAAGAAGGATGTAGAGTCTGATCTGCTGATCTGGAATGACTCCAAGTCACATTATGGACAGACAAAAACGAAGGGCAGAAGAAGGCAGGCGCCATCTCACCTGTGTGCTTGGTTTTAAAGGGATTATACGTGCGCACATACCTGATTGAATAAGTGCTTAAAAACTGTAGCAGATACTGGTTTTCTGGGGGGTGGGGGAACTTGGGGGTCTGGAGTGAAAGGGAAACAGTTTTGCTCATTGCATATAGACTTTTGCACTGTTTGAATGCTTTTACTACACAGATACACTACTTTTTCAATAAAAATCCAGCCAGTTAAAAAAATCTAGAAGTAAATAATAATAAAGAAAAGAAGACATTTAAATCCTCCTAGACGAGTCCCACCTGTGTTAAAGATACCACACACCAACCTCATGCTGGAGCAGTGGTTTGTGCAGCTCGTTATGGGGACATTGTTTGTCTGCTTAAGAAATGGTACCTAGGGACTTATTTTACATCGTTATTAAAATCTTTAATCCTGCACCATTTCCTTGGAGTTCTGTCAAATTTTGTTCAGCCCTTGGCTAATAATTTCTTTATGTTTTGTTCTAACATTGAATGAGCCTCTGTTGTTACCCACATGAATGAACTACAGGCTGATGGGCTCTGTTCCAGGCTCTGTACTAGAGACTCAAACATAGAGGAAGCAGCAGCTTGAAAGGAACGAAATGACTTGCCCAAGCTCACACAGCGAGTCAGTGGGAGTGTTGGACTTTGGACCCGCTTTGGAACCCCAAAGCCTAAGTCCTTTGCCTTGCACCCCAAACCTACAAGTAAGTAATATTACTGCACGTTTTTTCTTCCCAAATAAGAACCTTACTTTCTCACCATCTGATTCATTTTAGACACATTTATCTTTACTTAGGTTTTAGACTAATGATGTTCAGATGTCACTGAGGCAGTTGCAAAACCTGGATTTGCTATATTGCTGATGGACAATTAGAGCTAATTGTGTTGGCACTTTGGGTCTTCGATGTAATTAAATCCAAACACGTCTGATCCGGATAAAGGACCAGCCCTACCTAATGCCAGACAGGCTGCTGGTGTTTTGGGAAGAGCTGCCTCTCTTCCTGGCAAGGGATAGGCAAGGACATGGTGTCTGCCAAGCTCCAGGACCAGCATTCTGGGAGGTGCTGGGTCCTCCTGGGGCCTCCACCTGATGCCAGCTGCCAGACGCCCTCCGTGTCTGGGAGCCCCTCCCTGGGCTCTCTCACTAAGAGCTACAGCCATCTGCTTTTTAATACTAGGAGGATTTTAATGAGGTTCTATGTATTTAATCCTCATGGGATTAGCACCAGTAACAAGATTTGGGTCTCTAATCTTGCTGAAGCTTTTTAAAGCCAAGATGAAATATGAGACACTAACCTGGCTTTAGAGAGATGAGAACTATGGGGCCATCTTGGAAAGGAAACCTGCTGAGAACAGGAAAGACCCTTTTCCTCAAATTCCCATCCCTAAACAAAGACAAAACTAAGGCTGCCTGAAAGCTACTATTTCAGAAGCCATTTCCTCCAAATGTCACTAACATGACTAAGCAGGCTCAAACACAGGGACCTGGAGACTGGTGTTCCTTGTGGCTGGAGACTTTGAGTCATCTCCGTATCCTCCACACCAGGCTGGGCCTGACACGTGGTGGGTGTGCCACCAATATTAGCTGGGTAAGAAGGAAGTCTGAATCATGTGGAATGAAAGTACCCAGGACCTCAGAAGGTGACTGCATTTGGAGAAAGGATCTTTAAAGGGGTTGTCAGGGTGAGCCCTAATCCAATAGGACTAGTGTCCTCATAAGAAGAGGTGAGTAGTAGGACACAGAGACACAGACTCACAGAGAAACAACTACTCTGTGAAGACATGGCATCTACAAGCCTAGGACAGAAGCTTCAGAAGAAACCAAACCTTCCAACACCTTGATCTTGGACTTCTAGCCTCCAATAACTGTGAAAAAACAAATTTCTGTATTTGAAGCCACCCAGATTATGGTACTTTGTTATGGTAGTCCTAGCAACTGAAGGCAGTTTACAGAGAGTCTGTGTATCTTAGTATTACGCACTGAAATAGCCCCGGGTGAAATGACAGGCTGAGACTCGTTCCAAAATAATCTTTGAAAGGGGGACGAAGGAGGGGGTGGTTTGTAGATGAAGCGAGACTGGCCATAATCTGAGTAATTGTTGAGGTTGGATGCTAGGTACACAGGGGTTTATTCTGGGTTCATTTTACCTTTCTTTCTATTTTTATATGTTTTGAACATTTCTATAATAAAAAGTAAAAAAAACAAACAAACACCTGAAGAGGAAACAAGGGCTGTGCAAGACCTGTATATATCCTTGGCTCTCAATCCTGGGGAAGAAGCTTAGACGCCCCAGGGGGATTCTAATGCTGCTAACCACTGACCTACATAGAGAGAACTAGGGGTTCTTTATGGGAGAAATACAGGAAGACTTGAAGGAAAACATATGAGAAAATGAGAAAAGTAAACGCTAGAAAAATTTTCTAAATGAGAAAAGTAAACGCTAGAAAAATAAACTTTTCCAAGTTAATTTATATATTGAAACTCCTATTCAAAATTGTGATACACTGTGCTAGAGTTGACCAAAATTGACTTTTCCTCCCCAGGAAGAATGCCTCTCCACCGCCCCACTCAAAGTTAGCCTTGGCCCTGGACTGTGCTTTGGCCAGTCAACTGTGAGCAGGTGTGGCCTCCCTCATTTCCAGGTGGAAGCTTCAAGAGCCACGCTTCTTCCTCTCTTTGAGGTGGCGAAGCTCCCGCTGGTGGCTGCTCTATTACCCTGGGTCCTTGGATGAAGTTGGTGATGCTGGAGACATATGAACACCTAGCCAACCCACGATGGATATGTAGTGTGAGGAAGAAATAAATCTTTGATTTAAAAACCAATGAGATTTGGGGGTTGTTTACAGAGCATAATCTAGTCCATCTTGACTGACAGAGAAATTCAACACAGAATTTGACAAAATCATTCCAAGTTCAACAGAAAGAAAAAAAGGCAGAGAGACAAAAGCACCCTCTGAAGAAGTGACGAGTCAGGTCAGGGTTAATGCTATCAGATATTAGGCCATATCACAAAGCAACGATAATTAAAAATCAATAATGACCTTAGGTATAGCAACAAAAGTCGACTGTCCCCTGCGAGCTTCAGTTCCCGCCCCTAAGCGATGGGGGTGGCTATAGGGCCCATCCGGATGCCCCACCGCCCCACCATCTCTTGCAGATGGGCATGAATTCTACACGTAGCAAAGGCAGCAGCAGTGCCCTTACAGTGAGAGCAGAGAAAGGGAGAGCGCGCCCGGCCATGCCCCTTGCTCACCGTAGGTGAACATGCGAGGCGAAGTCAGTTCAATGTTGGGCAGGGCGCCCAGGTGGTTGAGCACGGCGCAACGGTAGCCGTTTTTCTGGGCATAGTCGACGAAGGTTCGGATGTACTGCTTCTCACTGTGGTTGGCGATCCCGGGGCAGATGGCCATGGTGATGTCACCTACGGGGGAAGAGACACCCTGGTATATTCGACACACAGTGACACTATAAATGGACACGGTGACACTTCACCGGCTTAGAAAACAAGAGGAGGAAGTTCAACATACATCTTTTCACTCGATTCTCTGCGAAAGATCATCTTTCCCTTCTAGCTGGAGCTGTCTATATATTAGTAACTCTCAAACATTTTATGGGGAAGGGTCATTTTTTAAAGTTTCCAACTGTCATGGGCAGATACTTTTGAAAAATATCCTAAAAATTAATTTAAAAAAATGAAATTAAAAAAATATAAATCTCAACTTTTTATTATTAGATTCAATAGATATAAAACTATTCTGTTCAACTGCTATACAAGTTTCTAAACATGACTCTTGATTTCTGTATGAAATTTTGTATGAAAGGACAAACAGGTGAACAGAAAAAGTAATAGTCATGTTTGCACAGACTTCTTTGATTCAGCCATTTTACTTGCAGGTACACTTGTGCACATGCAGAACAATACGGTATAGATTGTAATGGCAAAAGATCAAACACAACCCAATGTCCAGAAATAGGGGTCTAGTTAAATAAATTATTGCACATCCAAGTGATGAAATATTAGGTAGCCCTTAAAAATAATGAGACATCTTGTCTACAGCCATGCTACCCTGAACATGCCCGATCCCATCTGATCTCGGAAGCTTAGCAGGGTCTGGCCTGGTTAGTGGTTGGATGGGAGACCATTTAGGAAGACCGGGCGCTGTAGGCATTAAACAAACAAACAAACAAATAAATAAATAAAGAGACATCTTTATATATACGAATATGGCAAGCTCTCCAAAACATATTAAGTGAAAAAAAGCAAGATGCACAAAAGGGTTATAATACGCTGCCATTTGTGTGGATACACATCTATGTGTATAAAGCATCGACTAATTATGGAATCATACCCAAGAAACCTACTAGTGGGTACCTGGGGAGGGAGGTGGGTGGGGGTAGGGGTAGGGGACTGAGACTTTCCCTGTGTACCCTTCAGCATCCTTTGATTTTTTTCTGTCATGAGCATGAATTACCTACTTGAAAATACGAATACATATTTTTCCTTTAAAAGGAAAGTGGTGTTTAGTCTGTCATGAGCATGAATTACCTACTTGAAAATACAAATACATATTTTTCCTTTAAAAGGAAAGCGGTGTTTAGGTTATTAAATCTAATCATAAATTTTCCTTCCAAAAGTTAAGAGAAAAACAATTTAAAAATTCTTATGCAATACGCATAAAGAATCTTTAAAATTTTATAAACCTAGTAATTCCAATTCTTGGAATCTTGCCTCAAATGTTATGATTAAGGATGCTCATCATAGAATTAACCATAGTAGCAAAATTGTAAACAAGCTAAACACCCGACAATAGAAGAATGATTAAATTATAGTATGACCATATTGTAGGCTATTAACCAATCATTAACAGTATGTTTTTGAAGACTTTTAGACATTCAGTGACATGGGGGAATATTTATAATGTAATGTATAATAATTCAAATTTTAGAAAAAGAATGTATAGAACAGGAAGTAAATGGAACAAAATATCAACAGTAGTATGCTGGGTGATAGGATTAGATGTGATTTTCATTTTCTTTTCATAATATTTCTGTATTATCTAAACTATCTAAAATGGGTATTTATTCCTTTTGTAGAAAAAATTTTTAAAAAAATAATAAAAGGAAAAAGGGCTGTTTTTCTTAAGAGTATTTCTTGGATGCAAATACTGCCTTCCCCAGACCCAGCTTTCTTAACACTTTCTGGAGACAGGGGTGATAGAAAGACATGAATGAGTAAAACAAAGATTAAATTAAAATTTGTGCTTTAATGGTAGAAGTAAGAGCGTTAGAAACAAGAGAGCAAAACATGTAACTGGAAAATGGAACAAAACACGTAACCGGGAAACTTATTTTTGTAGCTGTTTACTATCTGTCTGCTGTCAGGCATTGTAGCAGACAGATACTAAACAGCTACACAAATAAGTTTAGAGAGTGGCAGGTGCCATCAAGAACTAAAGCGGGAAGACATGAAGGATTTACTGGAAAGAAACAGTCATCAAGGGAAGCAGAAACTGTCCCTCTGAGGAGGTGACATCCAAGACCAGAATGGCAAGGAGGAGGCAGCCACGTGAAAGTCTGGGGATGAGCACTCCAGACAGAGGGAACATAAATTAAACCTTCATCGCTAGAAGTTCTATTACTTTAAGTAACTGAGGACTATGACATGTTTACTGGAATCTACTCATACATATTTATTGAGCTCCTATTTAAAAAAAAAAGAGAGAACAACAAACTAGGTGCCTTTGCATACTACGCAACTCGAAAGACATGTTCTCTTCTGGTCCGGACGGCATTTAAAAGGGTGCTGCCATCTAAATCCACTCCCTCCAAGTCCTCATTGTGAAGCATTTTATGATGTATCTATTGTGCAGGCTGGACAGAGCAATGGAAATGCTAGTTGCTTCTGAGAAATAGGTGTCCCAGACCCCTGCCTGATAAATACGACTTTGATGTGCCTTTTTCTCCATGGAAACCTAAGCAGAGGGTACCTGAGAGCCTTTGTTATCTGCTGTTATGCAACAAACAAAACCAGCATATATAGCACTGGGCTTTGGTTTCCTCATCGGTAACATAGGGATCATGAGGCTTTGCTTTTATGAGGATTACATGAGAAAATAGTAAATATAAAGCATGGAGGACAGTCTGGCTTTTGTTACTGTCATCAAACTCGAGGCCTGGTCCTGGGCTCCAAGTTCTCCCTCATCCCCTTACACCCAGCTTCTGCCTTTCAAGAGCATTAAAAACTGTACTCAACACCACCTTCTGCAGAGCCGTACGTGGCAACTGGCAGGCACATGCTGGAGCTAATCCTTGCCAGTTGCTCATAAGTGATGGGTCTCAACAGAGTTCCTACCACCCCTGACATGATGGATGGTAAGAGTTGGTGGCACGAGCAAGTACACTGTGCTCCCTCACTGACTAGTGCTCCTTCTCCAAGTGATGGCCCAATCATACGACCTATACTCACTCACCTCCAATGCAATGCTCAGCCAAGGGCTCAAAGAGATCGAAGGTTGAAGTGGCTCCATCAGACATGGTGATGAACTTCCGGTGCCCATATGGGTGTGGCGACCTCACCCTTCCCATCTTCCCATACAAGGCTGTTTGAATGTGTCCACTTTTCCCCCAGATCAACGGCGGAATGTATCTAAGACAGAAGGAAACGAGAAGTCAATTTTCTCCACATTCCTTGAATAATGCTCTGCAGAAGCTTTGAGCAAAAGTCTTTCAATCTATTTAAGTTGTTTCCTGACAAATTCTGTACACTAAGCATTAATGAGATTTATTTTAACCTTATGTCCATGCCACGATTTACCTCCTTCCCCCATTTATTAATACACCCTGCAACAGATTAGCTTTAGAAATTGACCAGGGCATGCTTATATAGACAGGATTTCAAATTTAGGGTGTTAAGCAACTCAACATGGGTCATTCCTATAATGTAGAATAAAAATAAGCAAGTAACATTCGAACACATGCTATTTAACAAGGGTTAGCCTCATTATCAGATGAGCTAATGCACATAAAACAGCTAGCACAGTGCCCTCGCTCATTAAAGGCTCACTTCTTTGCCTTCCCTGTATTAGGCAGTCCATGGCTGCAGTGGTTACTCCATTCACCAAATCTGCTGCTCTCTGTCACATGGGAAGGGCTGCAAACTTCTGTAAGAGCCTTTATGTGCCTTGTGCGTGTGTGTGTTTGGGGTGGGGAGCACTGTGTGCCGAAGAGAATGTGCTGGAAGGACAGAGCAATGTCAATATTTGTTGGATTATTGAAGGATAAAGGCTTGTTAGTCTAAGCAAGGCATGACACACCCTAACAACTGTGCTTCGTGAAAACACGGAGTGACTGGTCCTTGGTAGAAAACTGAAAAACCACAAACTAGTTAGTTACTGGGAAAACAAGGTGCTCCAAGTTACAATTACAAAATGATTATAGTTCACAACCACAGTGCAAGATGATCCCATTTACTGAAACTGCTGTTGGTTTCTCTTCTGCAGCTTTGACTCCAAGCGTGCTGGCTAGCCAGGGTTTGTGTTCTATAGAAACTAGAGTCATATAATATAAAATGGTAATGACATCAATCTTTCATCATTGTAGCGTATCCATGTGGTGAGCATTTTATTAATAGTCATGCCATTCATTTCTATCAGACCAGATGATTCTAGAAGCCCTTCTTAAATTAAGCCAGGTTTATTATTTTATTATTATTATTATTATTATTTTGGTAATTCATTAGATCTACACAAACTTAAGAGCAGTGAGGTTATCACCTTAAGCAAGCCAGTTCCCAGACAAGCTACCTCTGTGGTGGTTTGTCTGAAAATATAGCTGCCACATTCTACCTATTCCTGTCTCCATAAGCCATTTGTCCCTTTTAGAGCTGGATACCTCCCCACACCCGATGAATGTAGGCTGGTCTGTGACTTGTTTGGGAAGGTAGAATGTGCTGGAAGGAATGCTGTGTATATCTGGGCCTAGCCCTTCAGAAGCCCGGAAGCCCGGTGGCTTCTGCTTGTACCTCCTGGACCTGGTGCCACACTGTGAAGAGGCCAGGGCTTGACTGCCCATTGAGGAGAGAAACGGAACTAGCCTAGAGGACGAGCCTGGAACTGAGAGCTATCTGTGCATTTAAAATTTTATGGGACCGCTAAGTTGCCTCCAAAAGATGGACCAATTTACGTTCCCACCAATTATGCACGTTCCCACCAATTCTTCACCTTCAACAATAGCAAGTGTTATCAATCTTTTGCATTTTGGCCATTTTGATAGATAGAAAATGGGCATTTCATTTAAACTTATTTAAGGTTGATCCGATCTATGGTTAAAAAAAAATTTCTTAGTTAAATTTGTATTCCCCTGATTTATATGTTTATTAGTCATTTGCATTTCTTTTCTGTGAATTGTGTGTCTGTTTTTCTTTTGTCCATTTTTCTATTATAATTTTCTTTCCCCTTTTGATTTCTAGGTATCTTCTTTATCACTCCTACATTAAGTCATTATGTGTTGCAAAGATTTTAGCCCAGTCTATTCTATATTTTAATTTTATCTTTTATTTTATATAACTTTTATATTTGTTTTTAAATTTGTTAGTTTTTTTTAGTAAAATCTTTGTTTAGCATTTTGTTTTAAAAAGAGCTATTGTAACACCCGATTATAAATACATTCTCTAATATTTCCTTCTATTACTCCATAGCTTTAAAAAATGTATTACCCTGAAATCCACCTATTATTTTTCCACATGATATGATCCAATTCATTTTTTCTTAACGGTTAGCTAATTGTCCTTACATCATAAATAGCCCGCCCTTTCCCTATCAATAACTGTCATTCTTAATACACACTAAGTTCTCAATTAAATATTTAGACTTGTTTCTGTTTCCTATTCTGGTTCGATCTACTTGCTCATTCTTGTACAATATGACACTGCTTTAACTAATGGAGTTGAACGAAATATTTTGAGAGTTGCTAGTGCAGGCCTCCTCCACTCCTCTTTTCCAAAATTTTGACAGATTTTTGGCATTTTATTTTCCAGAGGAAGCATAGAAACAGCTTTTCTGATGAAAATCTTGGGATTTTTCATTAGAAACACACCAACCTTATATTTTCCCTTGGGGAGAACTGCCATCTGTACAAGTTTGACTTGTTCCATTCAAGAACATGGTGTATCTCTCCATTATTCAGGTATTTATGTCCCACAGTAAAACTTTATAGCTTGCTTCTTGTTTCAATATTCAGTTTTTACTACACTAATTTGCATACACTTCTACATTCATTTTTTTTTTAAGCTATTCTTAGAATTAGTATCTGGGCATGTTTATTCCTAGCTCCTTGAAAGCAGAAGCAATGTCTTCCAGTTTACTAACCCACAGGGTATTTTGTCCAGTGGTTAGTAAATGCTTGTCGCTATGAAAGCAGCTAGACCACAATAAAATATAAAGGCCAACCTGTCCTTATCTTCTGAACCTTGAACCTATTTATAATCAACATCTGGCGACACTAACAGAATTGCCCATGGGAAAGACCTCAAGGGGAAATCTGGACCTCCCACCTGCCATGACCAAACATACACTGGCTCTGGGCATAGAGTTTGCATAAACAAGGACAGATGGTTGTTGGGCTGTTTAAAAGACAGTTGGGAAAAAAGTTGACTCATGCTCATCTTTGCCCTAAATCTGTGAGTGACCAGTTCCTTCAACGGGACCTGGGTCCCTTGGTTTTGGATTAAACCACTTTCCAGCTGTTGAACCCAGACTTAGCTATTATTCCCTTCGCTTCTCTCCAATACCTCCCCACCAAGTCGCACAAGTCCGTGCACAGAAGGAAATGTTTAGAGGCTCAGCCTGAGACTGAGCCTCCCACCCCACCCCTAGCAAGTCCTTTCCAGTGAACCAAATGCCCATCAGCAGCTACTCCTTGGCACTTGAAATGTGTTTCGAACAGGATGCTTTGGTTAAAAAACGAAACCCAACTCTGACTAACTTAAGAGGGATGCTGGGTGGGGTTTTGATTTGCATTTTCCTAGTGATTAATGATATTAAACATCTCTACTATTTTGACCTTAGGTCATTTCCTTCTATGCTATCTCTACTTCCACCTCTATCTCTAATATTAAACATAATTTTTAAAATTAATTAGTTGATAAATATATATTATCAGTCTCTTGTTCATTTCACAATGGCTATTAGTGGTAGAATCGAATCAGAATAAAGTTGGCAACAGTTAAAACTGCAGGTGGTAAAATTTAATATTGTCTAAAAACTGACAGAAGAATCCAGTTTTCAAAGAGGCACACGGACTTCCAAAATTTAACCTAGAGAAACGAACTTGGTGGAAATAACTGCCACAGCAGAACTTACTACAGCAAAAGCCATGGTCAGAATATGGAATACGGACCAATAACCGATTCCAAGCTTTGTAGTAAGATCTAAACGGAAAACAAATCCAATGAAGGTAAGATTTAAGTATTGCATAAAAAATTCACCACAGAACTTAATCGGCTCAAGAATTTCTTCCAGAAAATCTTTTGTCAAAGAAAACTCTTTAATGTCAGCATAACTCTGAAGAGTGGGAAGTGGGGTCAGAAAGAATGGAACTGGGGAGACTTCCATGGCTGAGACGTTCCCGTGTAGCGCAGTGTGTAACGGGGAGTGTTAAGGACCGAATGTTGTGTCCTCCCGAGTTCACATGTTGAACCTCTATTCCAGTGTGATGGCATTGGAAGTGGCACCTTAGGAAGGTGATTAGGGTTAGATGAGGTCATGAATGGGGAGCCAAGATGAGCCTGGTGCCTTTAGAAGAAGAGGAAGACGAGCTCTCTCTCTGCCCCGTGAGGACAGAGCAACAACATGACCACCTGCAAGCCAGGAACAGGGCCCTCGCCAGGCCCCTCATCTGCTGGCACCTCAGTCTTGCACTTTCCAGCCTCCAGGACTGAGAAAGACAAACACATCTTGTTTAAGCCACGCAGCCTCTGGCATCTTGTTGCAGCAGCCCGAGGGAGTCTGAGGGTCTCCGGGAGCGGGACGTTTCCCAGCACCCAAGGACTGGGCTGGTCATGTCTCTCACTTGGGCTTCACAATGACTCTGAACAACAGTAAACCTCCCATTCTACAGGTGAGAAAAAGAGAGTCTGGACTTGCCTGGTGTCACAAAGTCAGGACTTGAGGACAGGTCTCTGGGTTCTGTCCAGAGCTTTTCTTACTATGCCACACTCAAGACTTTCATCAGCTCTCTCGACTAGAAGTTAAAATAACAAACCTCTTTGTGCCTATTTTTTCCTATCTGATCAACTGTCAGAATGTTACATTAAATTCTCTTTCTCCAAACTGATCATTGAAGTTGCTGGAACTTCTTTCTGGTGTTCCTCACATACATTGAACAAAAAACTGTTAATTAGATTTTACTTGTTTCTGTGCAATTGTAACCAACTTCTGGAAATTAGTGTAGTTTTTCTTGCAGGAGACCCATTTGAAGGTAATTAATGAGAATGTTCACGTTTGATTGCTCCTGTGATGAGGCCAGAATTTAATAAAGTCACACTGACCATGTCCCCAAGATAATGAGAGCCCGGAGAGCGACGACAGTGAGAGCGAGAGGATGGAGGTGCTTCTGGAAAGGAGAGAGGTTTCTGATTCAGGGAGGGCT